AAAATAATTTGCATCTTCCTGGATCATGATGGAACAAAACTAGAAATAAATAGCAAGATAAACTACAGAAATTATAAAAACACAAGGATATTGGACAACATACTTTGAACAAACAGTGAATCATTAAAATTTAGGGGAAACCTAAAAATTTCTTTAATCAAATGAAAATGTATAACAAACCTATAGGATACAGAAAAAGTGAAACCAAGAGGGAAATTTACAGTAATGACTGCCTACATTAAAAAAAAAAAAAAAATAGAGAGCTCAAAAAATATCCCAATGATTCATCTTAAAGTCTTAGAAAAACAAGAACAAATCAAACTCCAAATCAGTAGCAGGAAGGAAAATAAGGATCAGAAGAGAAATAAATGAAACAGAGTTTAAAAGAATAAAACAAAGGATCAATATAACAAGGAACTGGTTCTTTAAAAAGATAAATAAAATTCACAAAACCCTCAGCTAAACTAAAAAGAGAGAGAGAACCTAAATGACTAAAATCAGAGGTGAAAAAGGAGACATCACAGCTGATACCACTGATATTCAATGGATCACTAGGAATGAATATATATATATATATATATATATATATATATACATACACACACACACATACATGTTGAGAGCCACAGTTTAGTCAGAATGACGCCTGACATTTTTGCCAGAGGGAATGGTTGAAAGGTGACCATGTAATAGGGCGGCTCCAGGGATTAGGGAGGATCCTGCTGGGAATAGGGCGGATCCTGCTGCCTCGGGTGCCAGCTACTTTGGAGTTCCCATTGAGTTCTCGCCAGGGTTCTGAGAGAATTGGTGCACAGAGCCTGGTGGAGGCAGTGTGTTCCCAGGAAGTGTGTGTAGAGGGCCGGTGAGAGTTCGGGAATTAAGGTTGCTGTTTGAACCTACACGCTGTGTGGCGGCACGGTTATTTTGTGCCCAGCCAGACTGCGGCATATATATATATATATATATATATATATATATATATATATATAATTTTTAAAAATAATTTTTAGTTGTAGTTGGACACATACCTTTATATTATTTATTTATTTTTACTGTGGTGCTGAGGATCAAACCCAGCACCTTGCATGTGCTAAGTGAGTGCTCTACCACTGAGCCACAACCCCAGCCCTAGGAATATATATTTTTAAAAAATATATGCCAATAAGTTGAAAAGTCTAGAAGACATGGAAGTATCTCTGGACATATATGGCCCACCAAAATTGAGTCAAGTGTATATAGAAAACCTAAATAGAACAATAGCAAGTAACAAGATTAAATGAATAAATAAAAAGTCTTCCAACAAGGAAAAGCCCAGGACTGGATGGCTTCATGGCTGAATTTCACCCAACTTTGAAGGAAGAACTAGCATCAATGCTTCACAAACTGCCTCATAAAATTTAAAGGGGAGAGAACCCTTCCAAACTCATTCTATCCTGATATCAAAACCTGAAAAGAATTCATCAAAACAGACTTTATTACCTTATGTAAATATATGACTGCATGACCAATGTGATTCTACAACATGTACAATCAGAAAAATAAGCAATTATACCCCATCTATGTATGATATATCAAAGTGTATAAATGCATTTTTACTGTCATATATAACTAATTAAAACAAATTTAAAAATTTTAAGAAAGAAAGAAAACTAATGGCCAATATCCTGAATTAAATAGATGCAAACATCCCCAATAAAATACTTACAGATTAAATTCAAGAACACATTAAAATGGGCTGGGGATGTGGCTTAAGTGGTAGTGAGCTCGCCTGGCATGCGTGCGGCCCGGGTTCGATCCTCAGCACCACATACAAACAAAGATGTTGTGTCCGCCGAAAACTAAAAAATAAAAACATTAAAGAAATTCTCTCTCTCTATCTCTCTCTCTCTCTTAAAAAAAAGAACACATTAAAATAACATATTTCATGGTCATGTTGATTTTCTTCTATACGTGCAAGGATGGTTCAATATTTGTAAATCTATCAGCATTAACACAACACATACATAGAATGGAGGATAAAATTCATATGATTATCTCAACAGATACAAAAAATGCCTTTGATAAAATTCAACATCCCTTCATGAAAAGACCCTGAACAAGGTATAGAAGAATCACACCTCAACATAATAAAGCCCATATATGAATAATTTCCTCTAATATCAGAAACAAGAGAAAGATGTCCACTCTCATCACTCTTATTCAATATCGTGTTAGATATTTTAGGTAGATAAATTAGGCAAGAAAAAGAATAAAAGACATACAAATAGGAAAGAAGGAGGTCAACTTACCCCTTGCAGATGATATGACTCTTTATATAGAATATTTGTGTTAGTTTTTTGTTGCTATGACCAAAACACAACTTACAAAAGAAAGTCTTTATATTGCTCATGATCTCAGAGGTTTCAATTCATGGGCATCTCGCTGTAAGGCAGAAACATCATGGCAGAAGGGTGGGATAGAGAAAAGCTACTCAACTCATCACATAAGAATTCTGATTATCCAAACAATCTCTAAATATTTACTCCCAGCTTCAAAAAGGTGGGGACAGGTTGCTTTCTCTAAGACAATATGCCACCAGTCTTTAGCTGTTGACCTTGGTTTACATGGTCTCTATTTTCTCTGGGAGCCCACAAGGGCCACAGTTGTAGATGAAAGATAGCCGGTCAGGGAGCTGGTGTCACAAGTAGAGAGGCTGGGGGTAAAAAACCACAAGTTACACTGGGTTAGCTCACTTGGTAGACCAAAGCGAATCTGTGAACAGGTAAAGCTCTTAATTCATTAACAAAGCTTGGGGTCACACATGTTTCCTGTTTTAATTTTTTTTTACATTTTAGAAAACTATGCATGTTCTTTTTCTTATATATACTCCCAGTAAGGTCTAGGGCAGCACCTCCTACACAAAGTCATTAATATTTCTGAATCAATTCATATAATACTCAATTAAGCACAATGAAGATTCACAACAGACTGACATCAGTTCAAAATTTGCTCCCAAACGAATGCTGGTCAGGTTGGTTTTACTGACAAACGATGTTACCTTCTCAACAAAACCTCTTGTATATTTCAGCATTTTGAGTTCAGAATCATGCAAGAGATCACAGACCTATACTGCCAAATAAAACCGAATTTATTACCAACTCTTGGCTCATCTTCAGTGCTCTCTCAGCCCAGTGGGAAACACAGCCATGCCCCAGGACCTTGGCTCAGGCACAAACAGACTCCCATGGCCCTCTTTGCATCCAAGCTGCAGGCCTAAAAGTAGTTTTCTTCTACTCATTAAGTGGAATACAATGCTCTCTAAAGTTTGATGATGTTTATCCCTAGAAGAGCAATGACACTTTCTGATTATCCCCAAAGATAAATGCTAAGCATTTTTCATTTTGTAAATGTTACTGCTAAATATTATCAGCACCAAAGAGAAGTTATTGATAACAACAATACTAGTGAAAATACTAAATAACAGCAGTAATAATAAGTGTTAATACTTATGAGTCATTATTTTATCCACTGTCTTCTTGGCTTTGTATACATGATTTCATTTAGTTTTAATATAAGTCAGTGGCATGAACAACTAGGGTTGTCTTCATTTTACAGATGAGGAGGTTAAGTCACTGATAAGTTAACTTACCAACTTAGGAACAAAACATTCCTGACTTCATTGATGAGATGGTAAAATTTCAATTGGGTTAAAGTTTGGGTCATGTATAACAAATTAGAATAAATCAAAAAATTAAAAATTAGTAGATAAATAAATGTTTGGGTCTCAGCTTGTTGGCTTTTCATTGTTGGGGATAGAATCCTAGGACATTCTGTGTCTCTGTTACCGCTGTTGACTGGTGACGAGTTCTTGCTTCCCCAATGTTGAAGAATAACACCAAAGAAGCACGCCGAGGCAAGGTCAGAGTAGAAATTAGAAGTTTATTAAAGGACAGCAGAAAAGACTTCTCCCGGAGGAAGAAGGGGACCCAAGAGGTGGAATCCATGGAAGGGATGTTGTCTCCCCTTTTTATAGTTCTTTCAGTGATGGAATGTAGGTGGGAAGGCCCGAGGGGTGGGACACAGGTGGGCCAAAGAAGTAATCTGGTCAGGAAGGACTTCTGAGTCAGCACCTTTTTGCTGGGGGCTGTTCATTAACATTTCTTTGAGGTGGACTTTGGCCTAGGGCCTTTTCGGACTTCATTAACATTCCTTGAGTTGTCCTGCATTTCCCGGAATCATTGCCAGCATGGCCTCCATTTTAGATTTCACTCGGTATTAGACCCGATTTACCTAACTACACTGACTACCTAACTTTAAATCTGGCTTCATCTCCAAGAAGTCTCTTCTTCAACCATGATGGTCCTAGGGGGAAAATCAGTCAACTTTCCCCAAGTGGGGAATCGGCTTCTTCCAGGGTTTTTTGAGTGTGTGAAAAGCATTACTGTCCACTTGAGTGTTTTCCCATGCAAATCTAAACCAGAGTACTCTAGTGTCTCCGCCATTCTTACAATTATTGGAAGAAATGAGAAAGCTTAGGAAATAAGTCTTATAGTTTTAAGGAACTCAATAATCAGTGGGTCCAGTGAAAGAACTAAACCAGCGACAGGGTGATAGGGTTTTGCACTGAGCAGACCAAGGGAAGACCCCCAGTTCAATTTACCACAAGTTAATAGGGAGCTCAGAGCTTATCAATAATCAGACAACTTTCTTGATTCCTTAGAAATATGTTCCCATTAGAGACACTAAAGGTTATAATATGAGTATTTTTTTCTGCATTCAAAATGTTTAATTTTTTTACTGCTCAAAAACCATTACCAAATGTGTTAAGATATAGCTCATCAACAGTAGTGATTTATTCACAAAGCAGGAATTAGAAGCAAAATTAGGAGTAAAACGAATATTTTCAAAAATTCTCACCTTGTGGAATACTACCATAACATTAAAGCAAATGTACTTTAATCTCCAGTAATAAATGCTTGACACCGCCCTCCCACCCACCCCCCCAAAAAAATCACCCTTTAAATATTTGATTAACAGGAAAAAGAAGTTGGGCATGGTGGTGAAGCCAGATTTAAAATTAGGTAGTCAGTGTAGTTAGGTAAATCGGGTCTAATACCGAGTAAAATCTAAAATGGAGGCTATGCTGACAATGATTCCGGGAGGACAACTCATGGAATGTTAATGAAGTCCGGGAAAGGCCCTAGGCCAAAGTCCACCCCAAAGAAATGTTAATGGAACCCAGGAAACAGCCCCCAACAGATTTGGAGATAGCTCATCCCAAAGAAGTGATAAACCCATCCCAAAAAAAGTGATAATGAAGTCCTTCCTGCCCAGATTACTTGTTTGGCTCACCTGTGTCCTAACCCTTCCCCCTTACATTCCATCACCAAACCTATAAAAAGTGGAACACATTTGCCCTTCACCGGATTCCACCTCTTGGGTCCCCTTCTTCCTCTGGGAGAAGTCTTTGCTGCTGTCCTTTAATAAACTTCTAATTTCTACCCTGACCTTGTCTCGGTGTGCTTTTCTGGTGTTATTCTTCAACATCGGGGAAGCAAGGACTGGTCACTGGCCAACAGCGGTAACAGTGGCTCACATCTGTAATCCCAGCTACTTAAGAGGCTGAGGCAGAAGAATTATAAGTTCAAGGTCAGAGACTCTGTCTCAAAATAAAAAATTAAAAAGGGATGGGGATGTAGCTTAGTGGGTTGAGTCCTGGGTTCAGTCCTCAAAAGTAAAGAAAAAAGGCAATTCCATTACCCAATGTAGTCATTGTTCAATTTACCCAGAAAATAATCCTCATGCTTTTCTGATCACCTTTCCTTTTACACAATGAATGACGAGGTATCTAGAACTCACTGGTTGAAAGAATATTTTCCATATTTACAGTTCTTGGGACATCTTGCCATCATTCTTTATATTTGCCCTCATTAGAAAAAGGTTTGAACACAGCAAACAAAGATGACAATATCAAACATAGTAACCAAACAGTGACCAATAATGATACATCCAGTATCTGGGAGTTAATGTTGCATAGGAAATTAGTTAATCATGCAGATTATAGCCAGAGAATGAAATCTTCCAATTTGATTATGCGGACAATGACATTGCTGCCCTGATTTGAAGGACCAAGAAGTACAGAGAGAATGATTGTAGTCTTGTTAATAATTAAGGTAATTTCGAGTGAGTTGAGACTGGATCTGATCACTTATAGTAAGAAAAACATGCTGATAGTATCAAGGATAGTGCCTCTTCTACGTATAGATGAACTCTCCTGGAGCAGAAATAATGAAAAATGATATTTGCCAGACCAGTCCCCATGTCTCTCCTTTTAGGATTCATTAGCTCTTCAGAGGCCCCAGAGCATGGTAATAACCCAATGGCTTAGTCTTCCCAGGCAAAATTCTCTGCTACAGACATTTCTTAGTCTTCTGTGAAATCCTAATTTTCTTGAATTGTCCACACTGGAACCTATTAAGCAAAACAAACAAACAATGGTCAAATAAATGGATTAATAATCAAAAAAAACAGATGCTAATAAATACAAAATTCAGTTACTATCTCTCCATTTCTCTCATCGACACATATTTATACTCATAGTATAAGTGCTAAGCATCATACAAAGTACAGACAACTCTAAGTTTCTTATTTGCAAGATTTATGTTTCATATGCAATTTATAATCTTGGTGCCAAGCTTGGTTCCTGACACATACTAGGTGCTCAATAAGTTTATGTGAAATGAATTCAATCAAAGTTTAGTGTCTATCAATTATGTCAGATAGTGAGTGGAGATCAAAGAATACAAAGATGAAAGATTCATTATGCAAATAAGGAGTACAATAAGAGAAAATATTACCTAAACTCCTCAGGGGTTAAAAGATTTGAATAATGTTTCCAATACTGGGATAAGTGTGTACGTATATATGTATGTCTGTGTATATAAACTACATGTACATATATATGCATACATAAACTGCATTTATAGTTATTATCTATACTGTTTATATAAATACATGCATGTATATATGAAATATAAATGAATAAAATGTAAATATGAAATTTCTTGTAAATTAACTATGTCATATATAGTATTTTTTTAGACAGAGAGAGATAATTTTTTAATATTTAATTTTTAGTTTTTGGTGGACACAACATCTTTATTTTACTTTTATGTGGTGCTGAGGATCAAACCCAGAGCCCCACGTATGCCAGGCGATGCACTACGCATGCCAGGCGATGCACTACCCCTTGAGCCACATCCCCAGCCCCAATAGTATTTTTAATTATAAAGTAATCCTTTTTTTTTGGTAAGCTAGAGGAAAAGAGAAGACAATGATGTATGAACTTTAATTCTACCACCCAGAAGTAATCATTTTGATTATTTGGAGGTATATACTGTATATATATCTTCCAGGTTCTTTTTTGTGTTGGATCAGTATATGTGCATGTTTTATTTTCAAAAATGCATAATCACACAAATACTTTAAGACAAAATTATTAAGAAGTTGGAAAGGAATTGAAAGATGGAGTTAAAATATTATGTAATACTAAGTGCTATACATACAAAAGAGAAATTATTTTCAGGAAAAAAATTAAAAATATCAAAACTCAAGAAAAATGCAAATTAAAAATGAGCAAAAAATTTGAACAGTTACCAGAAGACAATATAATTGTTAAGTCATTTTGAAAACAATACGGCAGTGTCCTATAAAGATGAACACACAATAATTGATTTTTATGGACTGAAATTTGCATCTTCTTAAAATTCATATGCTGAAATTCTAATCTGCAGTGTGATAGCATTAAGGGTTGGAGTTTTCCAAAGTTGTTAGATCATAAGGGGGGGCACCCTCATGTATGGGATCAGCGCTCTTATATAAATGAGATTCCAGGGATGGCAAGAAAAGGTCGTCTATAAACCAGGTTGCAAACCCTTACCAGACACCAAAATATGTCATTGACTTGGACTAGGACTCTCCAGCTTCTAAAACTGTGAGAAATAGATTATTATTAAAGCTGCCCAGTCTATGATTTAAAAAAAAAAAAAAACATTTTTGTTGTTGTTGATGGACCTTTATTTTATTTATTTATTTGCATGTGGTGCTGGGAATTGAATCCAGTCCCTCACACATGCTAGGCAAGTGCTCTACCACTGAGCTATAACCCCAGCCCCAGTCTATGATAGTTTGTTATTGCAGACTAATGGACTAAGGCTCCAATCCACTGAGCAATTCCACACTTAGAAATTTACCTAAGAGAAATAAAAACAAATCTCTGAGCAGAGACTGTGTACTTGAATGTTCACAGAAGCTGTATTTGTAATAGGCAAAGATCACAAATAATCCAAATGCCAAGTAACATGTGAACAGATAAATTTCTGAAAATCCAAGTAGAATACTGCACAGCAATAAAAGCAAAGGATCTATTGGTACAAACAGCAACACGAGTGAATCTTAAAATCTTTACAATGAAATAAAGAATTCAAATGCAAAAAAAAAAAAGAATATGCTATATGTTTCCATTCACATGAAACTCTAGCAAAGAAATCTAATATCTAGTGATAGAAGGCAAATCTATGGTTGACTAGAGGAAGGGGTGGGAGTAGTGATTGACTAACAAGAGGAACAGAAGAACTTGGGGGGGCCAATAAAAAATGTGCATAAGTGTTCTGTATACTGTGATGGTGGTTACTAGATAGTATACATTTTTTAAAAACCCATCACACTGTACCCCGAAAATGTGTACATTTTACAGCATGTACATTCACATCAATTATGTTAACATTTAAAAGTTACATTGGATAGACCAATTTTTTAACTTAACTTTAACCTAAAAAATAGCAACAATTATTTTTCTCTATCAATATATGCATACCCCTGGCAGACTTTCTAGTGGTTTCATATTATGACCATATTATAATTTATTTAACTTGATAATTTCACCATGGGACATATCAAATTTTAACCATTTTTTTCTATTACATATTAAATATTATGTTGCCTACTTTGGAAATATGAGTTAGATTTTGAACTACAAATTGGATAACATTACATGAAGAAGCAAAGACATAGTAAAGGAAGAAACAGCTGTCAAATGACAGAGAATTTGAGAATATATTGCATATTGAACATATTCAGCCAATTTCAAAATATCTTTTTTTATTAGAAAGTAAGATGTGGGGTATCAGAGGAGATGAGGGTGAAGTCCCTAAGCTTCTAAGCATGAGGTCTCTTCTAAGCCAGGTTAAGAACTCTGGATTTTTATGAAAGTACTGGGAGAAAGTGTGAAAGATTTGAAAAGAAGACACACAATTTGATCTGTGCTTTAGAAAAATTACTTTGCCATCTGGGTGCAGAGTAGACTGGAAGCCTGTTCTATGATGGTAATCCAGGGAACAAACTATGCATACCTGAGCTAAGAACAGGGCAAGACTTCAGAGAATGGTTCTGACTGAGACCTATAGCAAGTGCTGACAAAGAAGATGGGAAATCTGGATCACGTCCCAGGGATGAGAAGAAGATGGAGAAGAGGTTTATGAATGAATCTGAGTCTTTGTCATAGTCTGGAACTCATCTTTAACCTGGATAGATTTACCAGTGTGATATATTCAGCAAACTCACTTTCACACAAACTCCATAACCATATCTAAAGAACAAATCCTGCTGTTTACGTTATTATATTCTAGTGAGTTTCTTAAATTGAATTATTTTAGCCATTGTAGTGTGGTGGTAGTGGTGATGTTACTCAAATATAATACATTCCCGGAGACAGGCTACATAATAATGTATTTGATGATTATCCTGATATCCCATTTGAATATATTCCATGTTTTAAGGTTTCACTCAGAATAGGTTTTTTATTTTGAAGGAGGATGTGCTTACTTTCCAGATCTCCTCTTAAGAAGGGACATAGGTAAACTTCTTTTATAAGGTTTATAATGTGCAAACATATATTCCTTTTTATGCTACTGGTCTATTTATTGGATTAACTAGGAGGATTTGATGTGAAAGCTTAGGATGATATTGAAAACACATCACTTCTATTGTAGCTAAGAAAATCAGCTTTAGAATTAGAGACCTTGTATTGGGCATTACGTGTAGACCTTTAGCTTTTTATCACAGCTGTTCTTTGTTGCCATGACAACAGAATTAACCATTTCATTAATATCACTGAGAAAAGACACACATATTTATGCATGTCTGACTTCAAACATAGTCCCTGTTCAGATTTCAAGGTCTTTGGCATGTTTATACTAGTTTTTATCCCTCAATATTTTGCTTAATGCTTCTACAGGATTTTTAAAGCAAAGCTTTATATTTTTAAAATTAAATTTCTATTGGCTGCATTGGTTTGGCTGCTTTTAAATGTCCCCTGAGTGGCGAAATGAGCTTCAGAATCTGAAGCTAGTGAAAGCAATGGGAAAGGAAATTTAATACAAAAGAAAACAGTTACCTGTTATAAGAAAAGTCAGATGTTTGTTTTTTTTTCCTTCTTTTGGGCTCCACTTGGTGAAATGGGTGTTACTATAAATACTGAAGAGTAATCCCTCATCAAAACGGGTGCTCCAGCTGTTTCTGTTGCTGCTGAAAGCAGGTAGTGTTCTGATTGCAATTGTGATGAAAAGGCAGAAAAAAAAATGTCCTACGACAAGTAAAATCCATTATTTTGAAAATAATACCTCAAGAGAATAATTTTGCCCATTCCCCAAAAGCCACAATAGCTTCCTTCATATTTGTATCCAGCTTCTCTGTAGAAGGAAAAAAAATGCATCATAACATGAGACTTTCTATAAATATTCATATTTTTAATGACCAATGTAAAAATTCTCTAATTAACATTGAAAGGGCTTAAGGAAGCGGCTCATCCTGTTTTCTACTCATGCACTTTATTTATATATTTTCCAAGCAAATAATGTAAGAAAGATGATTTTTTTAAAAAAAATAGAATTGTTGTGATTAATTTCTCTCTTTTCTTGCACATCTCCTATGGCCAAGCCACTGTGCAAAGCCCTTAAAATACTTTATTATCTCATTTAACACACGAAACAATAGCTATATGAAGAAGGTACTGTTATCCTCACTTTACAGCTAATGAAACCAAGTCTCCAGGAGAATTTGTGCAAGATTTGATAACTATTGGGTAAGGTAAGGGTTGAATCTTACTCTGCCTGACCCCGGAGCCTCTGCTGGTATCCACTGGGGAAAAGTGCTTCCTTCAGCCTTTTGTTTATGTACTTATAAATATTGTACCAACACTGAAGATATTTACATTCCCCCTAAGGTATTTTCGTCCTGCAAGAAGGAAAAAGTCAGGAACTATTATTCATAATAATTAAACTCATAAAACAAGAAAGCCGATGTGAATCAGAGACATGTAATTTTTAAAATCTTAGAAAAGTTCTGGGAAGTTAACTGAGTTACCTGTACAGATAGGAAGAGTTCTAAATACCACATAAAGACCTTTTACCAGCCATTGAAATAAAGGAAAAGACTTACACTGGGTTTGTTTTGGCTTGTTCATTAGTTTTGCCTTTTTGTTTGCCTTATTTGAGTCTTTCATTTTCAAAAACAAAAATTACTTCACTGTGATATAGTTCCAATGCCATAAAATTCACTTGAAGTGCCAAATTCAATGATTTTTAGAATATTTGAGAAGTTGTACAATTGTACAAGCCTGGCACAATTTTAAAACATTTTTATCTTCCCCCCCCAAAACCCAATCACCATGTCACTCTTTTTTTTTCTTCTGCCCCTCCACATTTCCCCATCACTCCTGGCCCTAAGAAACCACTAATCTGCTTCCTTGTCTCTAGCAATTTGACTATTATGGATAATTCACAAAAAAAAGAAAGAAAAGAAAAAACAACTCACAATCATACATCACATAGCCTTTTGTGTCTACTTTCTTTAGCATAAGATTTTCAATATTCATCCATGTCATAGCATGAATCAGTACTTCATTTGCTTTTATGGCTGAATAATATTCCATTGTATTGAAAGATCACATCTGGTCCATTGATGGGCATTTGGGTTGTTTCCACTTTGGGGCTATTATGTCTCCTATGAATAATGCTGCTGAACTTTTGTGTACAAGTTCTTCTGGGGACACATGTTTTTATTTTGCTTGAGGCTCTATTTGCTTTTAAGCTATTCTTATCTTCTAAAAAGATGAGGCTCACACATCCTCCACTGTCTGAAGACCTCATGGAATTCTAAGCTGTGATCCACATCAAAGCTTCACTTTAACATTCTGTGGGTTATGGGTTGGAGGTGGGGTAATTAATTCAAACAGCATTGCTTGGGATTCTTAGCCACTCTGATAACATTCACAAGAATACTCAGCTAATTCTCTTCTTAAGTCACAAAAAAACTATTTGGCAGGTTGTTAATGATTTTAAATTTTAAAATACAAGAATGCATGTGCATAAAATAAAACTTCTTATTAAAGTCTCAATTAAGATAATCTGTTTTATCTGTTTATCAAATATATATTTCCTCTTCATAGAACTGAATACTTGGAAAAATAAGATTTTTTAAAAAATGTGTAAGAGAGTGCATGTTCTACTTTTAAATTTTCAGTGCTAATTTTGTGAATAATTTTCTAAGTTTTACTTTCCCATACTAGTGACAAAGCCAAGAACTAGCATTCAACAGACCCAAGGAATTTATTTGGACTTCTTTTTTATTTAGTTATGTGATTCCATTCATAAACAGATCATAATATTTTGTAATTAGACATAAGCATATCAGTTATTTGTTGAATGGAAACTCCATGGGCTCTTCCTACTGGGGAACTGCTTCCTTGTTTTGAGGTGAGAGTTTACCTTTGGTCTGAGTTATATAAAGGAACCATGAGAATCATATTATTTTCTAATGTGCAAAGAGTTCAAAGGAAGATTAAGAGGAAATTCTTGGTATTTTTAAATGCCAAATTGTGGTTTCCAAGTATAGTATTAACTTCCATTTCAGAATGCAGGAGAAATTGCATCAGCTAATCAGGTAAATTATTAAAAAAAAAAAAAAAAAAAAAAAAAAAAAACAGTTGCTTCTCATCTCTGCACAAGAGGGCAGCCTTTCACCAAAACCAAGGAAACACTTGGGCAGAACTCTTTGCTGATGTATATAGAGACCCCTCCAATCACGGAACTTTCAGAGAAGAGCTCTTTCACATAAAGAATGAGGAAATTATGAGATAGCTAATACCATGTGCTGTCAGTCCCAGAAAAGGTCTGCACAGCTATATTACCCTACAGATGTTCAAAGTTTCAGTGACATTTTGTCTTATTATTACATAAATGTTTGAATTTCTCAAACTTCTGTGGACAGCTATGAACTCCTAAAAAGAACTCTAGGGACAAGATATTTTGTTTAGAAACGGCTTATACAATCAAATTATTCAATCCTAAAGACAACTATTTTTCTGTATCTCATGAATATTTTCTTATTTGTTTATCCATAATCAGATTTTGAGGTTTAGAATCAAATTGTCAAAATTAATTTGAAATTAATAATTATACTGGGACAATTACCAATTTAAATTACAGAATATACTAAAAAATTCTACAAAGAAATTAGGAAAAACCAAAAAATTGCTATATGCATACACTTTCAAACTAATTAACTGTTCTTGATAAGAAATATGTAAAATAAATGTATTATATTAAAACTTGAATGCTATTGAAAAGGAGGTTAAAGTTAACTTGTCATAGAGAAAGGTAACTGCCTTTATGTTTAAAGCTTTGGAAGAATACTTTCATGAAGTCTAAACTAACCACAGCCCTTTTTTTCCTCTTAAAGTTAATGGAACTTTCAACTACGTATTTCACAGGAAATTACTGTCTCCAAGAATATAAAGGGTTTTATATGAGGGATGCTGATCAGTTGTTCTCCATGGATACAAAGACACAAACAAGCAGAAATTGATTTAATAAAGCAGGAGAGATTTCAAATGGACACAAGGCAGAACTTCTTGACTATCTTGGTGATAAAGAAAAATGGGGGAAGCTTTTCAATAATTTTTCAAAGATAGCTGTCAAAATATATCCAGCGAGATGGATAAGAGATGTTCTTACTTTTATTACTTATATTTTAAAAATTGAGTACTGGACAGGGAAATTAATTCATACAAAACACCATTTCAAACATTTTATTTACTTTCAATAAAGTGATGATTTCATAATGGTTAATCATCCAATAAGGTAAATGAAGAACAGTGTTTCAGCCTCCTTCAGGTTTTGTTTTGTAAACAGATACAATTATATACAGTTACATACACTGTTAGGAGCTGGACAGCCACCTGACTCATTTTCCTCTAGATAATATTTACTTGCAGAGAAATTTAAAAGACATTCAACAGAAGATAAAAGAGTTCTTCCATTCTTACTTGTTCAGTACATTTTACTGAACTGAGAACACCTTACATAGAAGAATGGGGTTACCAAACACACTGCCTGGCACTTAGTAGAATCTCAGCATAGGTTTATTGATTTGTGTTTTAATAAAATTGCATTACTTCTGTATCATGATGAGACTCAAACTCTGCCCTATTATCTTTTTCACATATTGCTGCAGGACTGGAGATAGCAAAAGCTAAGTTGTAAATACATATACCTGTTTATAAAGCCCTTTCATAATCTATATGAAGGTATACTGCTCTTAATTTGCTTTTTGGCAAACCACACTAGTCAAATTCTTACAGAGACTTACTTTACTGAGGGTAAAACTTCTTTTACCAGCAAATATTTATCTGAAATTTACCACATACAAGACATTGTGTCATGTGTGAGAGATATGACAGTAAACAAGGCAGGTATAATTTCTGCCCTCCTGCCACTTATAGTCTAGACAATGTGAGCAAATCAAGTCGGCAATCAAGCCTTTAGCTACAAGTGTTATGAGTTCTAAAAGGAGAAGTCCAGGAAGTTAGGAAAGAATTGAATAGGGCAGAGTTACAGTACCTCTTGATGGGAGGTAAAAGACAGTTATAAGAGAGGTTTCATTGACATTGAGAATTGGTTTTTATAAACTGGGTCCAAAAGATGAGTAGGAGAAACTAGGTGGGGCAATAGCAGATATTGAAGAACATGGGGGGCAGATTGGAATTCAGTTTGGAGGGAGGGGTTTACCCAGTCACCCCAGTCTGGGAAAATATTGTCTCATACAGGGAAATAAATGAGGACAATCAGACCAAACATGGAGTGGGATCTGAGATCCCCAACCTGGTCAAAAGAGCAAAAAGGCATTAAAGAAAGAGATGAAAGACAAAATCAAGATGCTACCAGCTGGGGAGAAGTTCAGATCTGTTTGGTCTTGTCCTTCTTCAATACCCAAACTAACACTTATCATTCTTCTCCAACTGATTCCCGCAAACTCCACCCTCTTCCTAAGCATGCGTCCATTCCTACTTCCTAGAACAGGTGTTGTATACTCCGGCACAGTTGTTTTTGCCTATGGAAGCATCCCTTTGAGAGTTGAATCATAATGTAGAATGTTCTCTGTCAGAGAGGTGTTGAAATGGGAGGCATAAACGATGAGTAATTCTTGAAGAGACTTGGGTCTTTATAACAAAATAAAAGCTCCATATTAAATTACAAGGAATTACATTTCTATAAAATAAATTAAATAAATGGCCAACAGGGGTGTTTTATACAATTTATTGGTGCCCTCTACAGTCAATGCTACATCTCATTAGTGGCTCTGTCACTCATGAAAAATGTGGCACCCATCAGCATTACACATTAACTTAAAGCATGTGCCCACACATCAAATACATACTTTTTAATTATGGAAACAAGCTATAAAGCAGAGGAGTCTCTCTCTCTCTCTCTCTCTCTCTCTCTCTCTCTCTCTCTCTCTCTCTCTGTGTGTGTGTGTGTGTGTGTGTGTGTGCCCATGCTCCCTATAAACAGCAAAAGGCAGTCAAAACCCTCCAAGTCTTTTCTTGTTTCCTTCTTGTTGTTGTTTAACCAAAATGGAGAATAAGATACTGTTCTCATCCTTTCAAAGTTATTTTTCTCTACTGACTTTTTTTTTCTGCTTGCATTCATTGCAATAGTCCAGACTTTGCCAATTTTTTTTTCCTTCTTGACATTTCATTTTTAATTAAAAATGACATTTTAATTAAAAGGAAACATATGTAGAATAAACAGAATAACTCACCAACAGCAGAGAGCTGGGGCTGTCCTGTCAGCTCAGTTTTAACCTTTCTGGCTCATGAAAGGCTGTGCTGGGCTTCTCCACAATGGTTGCCAAGGCACATTCTTCACATAAAGAAAGAAAAGATGTTTATCCAAATAAGGTATACCTACATCCAGAAAACCCTAAGAAGAGCAGAGGGTGGAGGAGAGAGAGGGGATACCCACTCCAAACTATTATTTTGGACTTTCAGGACTGGGAGGATCAGTCTTTCTTTTGCTCAGAATATTAAAACTATCACTTTGGTGAAAGACCTTGGTTTTGCAACTTTTCATGTTTGCAGATGGCCTGATTTGGCAATCTTAAATGTTAAGGGAATTAGAAATCTGGCAGGAGGTAAGCATAGCCAAAAGGAAACTATTACAATTAAAATGAACTGTCCTTCTATGAACATCCATAACTTAAGACACCTCTCATATCAGAGCTAGTGTTGGCAGGGTGCACCAGCATTTGGGTGCCAACCCTGTCCCTAGAATGAAATACTGAAATATTGAAGGGAGTGTAGCAAGATTGAACTAAATGACAGAGAAAGAATCCAGTGGTGGTTAACCTGTCATGAGGATCCACAGGTTTCGATGTAGTGGACTGTCACACATTGGGTACCCATTTTTAATAAACATAATGAACTGAGATGAGCAGAAATTAGTTATAAACTATTGTGTATGTAGAACCTGGCATGAAGGAGGATGCAAAGGAATATAATTTTGTACCTACTAGATGCCAATGATTTGTTATTCCAATTCAAGCAAGAATTCTCTAAATCAACGTATGGGTTGAATTGATTTCCCTCAAAAAAAGAATATTTAAGAATCCTAACGCCTAGCACTTAAGATTGTGAACTGATTTGGGATAGAATTGCAGATGTGATTATTGAAGTTAAAATGAGGACATTTGGAATAGGGTGTGCCTCTAATCCATATGACTGGTGCCACTGTAAGAACACAGCATGTGAAAACAGATGCGCATAGGGGCAGTACTTTGTGATGACAAAGGCATAGATTGGATTTACAGAATTGCAAGCTCATGAATGCCAAAGCTTGGCAGCCCTCTGCTGAAAGCTAGAAACAGGCAACCCTACAAGTCTCAGAAGGAGCATAGATCTGCCAACAACTAGATTTTGAAACTTCTAGATTACAGAGCAGTGAGACAATAAATTGCTGCTATTTAAAACCAGCCAGGTTGTGATACTCTCTTATAGCAACTCTATAGAACAAATAGTCAAATTTAATTGTTTTGCATATTTCAGAAGGAAAACATAGTCCTAGAAAGCTAATATATTTTCTCAAAATCACATCGCTAGCCAGGAGCCAGAATCAGTCTGCCTCAAGACTATATTCCTCAACAAATATTACAATACCTCCAGGCCTTTGGCCAATAATAGAAATCGAGATTACATAAAGGCATGAGGAGTTTATAATTTGCAAATACGTTCATTAACTAAATGACAAAGAAACAGGTCATTGCATATTTTTGATAGAAAAATATGACCTCCTCTTATGGTTTGCATTTGAGGTGTTCCCCAAAAGATCCTGTTGATGCAGAAGTATTCTGAAGTAAAATGATTGGGTCATGAGAGGTATAACCTCATCAATTCATCCTAGTTTGAATGGACTGACTGGGTGGTAACTATAGGCAGATGTGGTATTGCTGGAGGAGATGCGTCATTGGCAGTGTGCCCTGGAAGGATGTCTCTTCTCTGTTTTTTTCCTTTGTGTTCACCATATGTGTTCACCCCCTCTCACCACAAAGAGCTTTGTAGCTTTCCTTCATGGGACCCTTCCCCCACATCTTGGTCTCTCAGAGGATTGGAATCAGTTGTCTATGGACTAAGACCTCTGAAACCGTGAGCCCCAAATAAACCGTTTATCCTCGGAGTTGTTCTTGTTGGATATTTTGATCACAGGGACAAAAAGGTAACTAAATCACCTCATATTAAGAATAACTGTGGGGCTGGTTGTGGCTCAGTGGTAGAGTGTTCATCTAGCACATGTGAGGCCCTGGGTTCAATCCTCAGCACCACATAAAAATAAATTAAGATATTGTGTCTACCTACAACTAAAAAATAAATATTAAAAAAATAATAACTGCAAAATTATCAAAATGAATTATTTCAACAGGCATTTATTGAACTCCTGTTGTCTTCTGCAGGTATTATACTAAAAATTACCTTCAAAGGTCCTTCAACTAATCATGGAAAATGCACATGTAAAACAGTTGCCTGAGAGGGTTGTGGGCACTCGTATAGTTATGTTCCTGATATAAACAAGGGACCAAAGAGTTTTGCATGCAGAAGATTTCAGATAGGGTTAGAATTTACTGTTAGATGTTCAAATTGTCTAATTAAACAAGTCTCAAAGGGAATGTTATTGACAGTGATTATTTGTGAATGGCTTTGTCTGATAAATTGCAAGAGAGGTCTAATGTTTTTAAAACTTAACACTGAATAAGTGGGGCAGGTGTACATCCACAAAGCCATAAGCTGCCTAGACATCTATATCAAGTACATAGACAATGAAAATCAAAACAAGCTACCTCTACAAGCAGGCTGGACGCTAGGATGGAACCTATTCCACGCCACTCTTAAATAATTATCAATATCAGTGTTGTCTTATTAATGTCTTTACCATTTCAGAGACTTAAGTTCTGGCAAATGGCTTGACTCTTTATGAGAAAACAAAAAGCAAGCAAACAAAAAATGCCTAGAAATATCCATCAACTCTCTTCAATGGGAAATAGTTACGGTTTGTATCCCATGTTTCCTAAGATTTTTTTTTTAATCCTTTCCTTCAAAAATCCTGATTGTTCCCACCAATTCTAATAAATTATCTACACTGAAATACCTTTCATATACCAAAGTCTCAACTCTCAGTAAATCCAAACCTTGCTTTCTCATTCCCCTCGGACATTGACAGAGTTCTATTTACATGATGTTCTCTTTTACCTCAGTAAATAAAGTATTGAACTTTATCTCATCAACAGGTTGTGTGAGTGTCAGTGAGGAGCTTGCATTCAATGATAAGTATGGTGAACACAAAGGAAAACAGACAAGTCTGGAGGAGAAATACCATTGGTTTTAATATGCTGAAAATCTCTTAGATGTATAAGAGCCAACAAAGCAGACAAGTCGTCCAGCCAAGGCAGTTAAGTGGAGCTTAAGATGAGGATTTGAGCACAGTAGCTGGATTTCATGGTTTGCACATGAGGTGCCCTCGAAAGCTCCTGTGCTAATGTAGGAATATTCAGAGGTGAAAGGATTAGGTTATGAAGCTGTAATCCAATCAGCCCATCCATAGTTAGAATGGACAGCCTGGGTGTAGTTGTAGGCAGGTAGGTTGTGACTGCAGGAGCTGGATTACTGGGGAGATGCCCTGGAAGGGTTCATCTTCCCTGAAGCCCCTTCTCCTTGCTCTCTGCTTTCTGGCTACCATATGGTGAACGTAACTCCTTCACCATACCCTTCTACAGTGATTTTCTGCCTCCCCTTGGCCCCAGGGCCATGGAGTCCACTGACCATGGACTGAACCTCTGAAACCATGAGCCAAAATAAACTTCCTCCTCTAAGTTGTTCTCATTGAGTATTTTGAGATGAAAAGCTGACTAACACTCTGGGTATCATCACAGAGTTCACTCAGAGAACATGTGTAGAATCAATCAACAGGTACATGAAAAAATGCTCACCATCTCCAGCAGTCAGAGAAATGCAAAGCAAAACCACCCTAAGATACCATCTCACTCCAGTAAGATTGGCAGCCATTATGAAGTCAAACAACAACAAGTGCTGGTGAGGATGTGGGGAAAAGGGTACACTTGTACATTGCTGGTGGCACTGCAAATTGGTGCAGCCAATTTGGAAAGCAGTATGGAGATTTCTTGGAAAGCTGGGAATGGAACCACCATTTGACCCAGCTATTCCCCTTCTCCGTCTATTCCCTAAAGACCTAAAAATAGCATACTACAGGGACATTGCTACATTGATGTTCATAGCAGCACAATTCACAATAGCAAGACTGTGGAACCAACCTAGATGCCCTTCAATAGATGAATGGATAAAAAAAAAATGTGGCATTTATACACAATGGAGTATTACTCTGCATTAAAAAATGACAAAATCATGGAATTTGCAGGGAAATGGATGGCATTAGAGCAGATTATGCTAAGTGAAGCTAGCCAATCCCTAAAAAACAAATGCCAAGTGTCTTCTTTGATATAAGGAGAGTAACTAAGAACAGAGCAGGGAGGAAGAGCATGAGAAGAAGATTAACATTAAACAGGGACGAGAGGTGGGAGGGAAAGGGAGAGAGAAGGGAAATTGCATGGAAATGGAAGGAGACCCTCATGGTTATACAAAATTACATACAAGAGGAAGTGAGGGGAAAGGGGAAAAAAAAACAAGGGGGATAAATGAATTACAGTAGATGGGGTAGAGAGAGAAGAAGGGAGGGGAGGGGAGGGGAGGGGGGATAGTAGAGGATAGGAAAGGCAGCAGAATACAACAGACACTAGTATGGCAATATGTAAAACAGTGGATGTGTAACCGATGTGATTCTGCAATCTGTATATGGGGTAAAAATGAGAGTTCATAACCCAGTTGAATCAAAGTGTGAAATATGATATGTCAAGAACTATGTAATGTTTTGAACAACCAACAATAAAAATTTTTAAAAAAAGACTTTCTGAATTTAAGAGGAAAAAAAAAAGAGAGAGAGAACATGTGTAGAGTGATATGAAAGGAACCTCTGGCAGAAACCTGAGAAGGAGTCATAGTTTAAAATGTGGACAAAGACTAGAACCTTCAGAGAGGAGACACAGATATAAAAAGAAGAAAAAGCAAGAAAGCAAGAGGACTGACATGAAATCCCAAGATAGAATTAAAAAGAAAGGAAGGACCAGCAGCACCAGATATTACACAAATAACACACACACACACACACACACACCCCTAAATATTGTGTGATGTGCCACCATGTATCCTTCAAAGAAGAGCTAATTCAAAATCTAATTAATCATGAAGTAACTTTAAACTCTCCAGGCCCGTTTTATTGCTCTGTAATATATTTCAACTTTGGGGGCACATAATTCTGACTTCTCAGGAATGAGTGAGCCCTTAGCTCTCACACAAAGAAGTGGTTTGCATAAAAACAAATTAGTATATTGTCACGTAAACTGTATGATAAGAAAAAAATAGCTTAGTTTAAAATTTTAAAAGTA